ATCTATCTATCTATCTATCTATCTATCTATCTATCTATCTATCTATCTATCTATCTATCTATCTATCTATCTATCTATCTATCTATCTATCTATCTACAAAAAAACTATGCTTAAAGAACACTAACCAAGCCGTCAGTCATCCCTCATTTCTTTGTTTGCTTGCAAGAAATCAAAAAAGTGATTCTTAGGACTTAAAAAGTGGACTTTGCCTGCCTTTTCTGTCCAGTGCTTGGCGAATATCTTTACGCTCTGATATTGGTTTGAACGAGGGGACGTGAACGCAGCTTTAGGCTCCGCCCCTCTCCATGTGACAGCTAGACTTAACAGCAGGTCTTCAGTCATTCAAGTCGCGGTTGTGGATTAAAACAGAAAAGAGGTAAGGCCATAACTTTTCAGAAACTTTTGTAGCGAGTTTAGACATTATATGGAGACTGTCTRCGTTGTGCAGCTCTTTCACTGGCAAAAAATAAACTTGTTTCATCGATTGAAAGTACATTATCCGACATGTCTGCTGTGCATGTAGTCATTGTGACGTGTATATCCCCTCAGTGAAATTTGTTTGAAATTAGTGATTTGTTTTCTRCTTCTTATTAAACTTTTCTTCTCARTACATTTCCAATTGCATTCATARCTTCATGCATGTCTTCATTTATAAWCAGATTAATKGACAAAACAAAACTTTTGAGGTGTTTAATCATGTCCACATGTGATGTGATCTACAGGATCCTCCAGGTGATTGATGTCACTGCCTTATAATTTTAATATTTGTCAGTGCAGAGATGCGGGTGGCAGTGATTGGAGCWGGAGTCATTGGCCTGTCCACAGCTCAGAGCATCTATGAGCAGTTTCACTCCAAAGTCCACCCACTGACCATCGAGGTGTATGCAGACAGTTTCACTCCACTGACCACCAGCGATGGAGCTGCTGGCTTGTGGCAGCCCTACCTTTACGATAAAGGCAACGTCCAGGAAACGTATGCGCCATCTCCTCTGTCCACTCACTTTTCCCATTGCTTTGCTTTTACCGTCACTGTAATAACTGTTTCTTTTCAGTAAATGGAACAAGGAGACGTTTGACTACTTGTTGAAGTGTCTGAGCTCACCAGAGTCCATGAAAATGGGTATATTCCTTCAGTCAGGCTACAACCTCTGCACTGATCCACTTCCAGTGAGTACAGCCTTTATCTTTAGAAGTGGTTTATAAATACTTCACTGATAAGAATGGACCTTGTTGGCCTTTTTTTTTACGCCAAAGAACAAAGGTACAGCATAGTGGAAAAGAGTAAAAACAGCTGCCATTTTCCCTCCAAATTAACCATTACATAAGTTTATTACATACCAGTATAGATGAAGTCCTGTGAGTTTCAGCTGCACTGAAGTTGAGCTTTGTTCAGATGGACAAAGGCCGGTCACCTAAAAAGAGGCTTCACTGAGTTAATTGGGATTAACCCTGCTAACACAGCTGAAACTCGTTTTTTTTTTWAATGTTGTGGTGTTATTGTAATTATAAATAATCTGTTTGTGATTACAGGAGCCCTCCTTTAAAGACATCGTCCTGGGCTTCAGACAGCTCACGGAGCGAGAAATTAAGATGTTTCCTGGATACAAGTGAGTTCTCCTTAATGATAAAACAACCAGCTTTCCTGGAAGAAATGCACATCGCCCGCCACCTTTCTGCCCAGAGTTTGAAATTAGGAGYAGATTATCTTGAAAAACTATGGAATCTTGAGCAGTATTGTGGTATCTCATGGAATTTGTTGGTGCTTGGAGTAAATGTTGGGAATGACTCTCAAGCTACTACCACACAGTCTCCATTCAAATTCTATAAAATTGAATTACAGCCATTTTCTGTTTTGCTAATGTTGATGAGCTGTAGTTGCCGTCTTGATTTTGAGTTTGCTCCAGAAGTTAATCAGTTGTAGATGTTCATCCAATGATTACTTGCTGAGAGTTTCATAAAAGTTTATTCAGTGGCTCATTAGGTTGATTCCAGTAGTTAAAGCTAATGTTTTAAAACAAAGATTTCACATATTTAGTTTGGTGTATGAATTTGAGGTGCCTCTCAGCTACTATCACACCAAATTTTAGCTCATTTCTTTGCTAAATAAAATCTCCATCAGCTATGTTTGTGTTTTGTTTGTTGACTCTACATTAAATTAATAAAAGTCTATCATCTAGTTCATGCTAACAGATAAATGAGCACATAGATCAACAGAGGTAATGATATAACTGCCCACATTTTGTCACGGCAGCTCAAAAATAGAAATAAAATTATAGAACTGCAGGCCAATTAGTTCATCTGGCTGTCAGCTTGTTTTAAATCATAACTGCAGCATTTTCTGGTGCAGCTAATATTAAAATGCAGCTATTACTTTATAACTGCACACATCTAAAAAAAAGAATAGACTGAATACTTTTTTGGTTTGTTCAATCTTCCTGCACATCATCTCTTCTTTAACGCTTTGTCTTATTTTAGTAAAAGGTTTTTATAAGACTGTGTGTCTTCTGTGGCATGTTTTCCCAGGCATGGCTGGTTCAACACAGCTCTCATGGTGGAAGGTAAAACGTACTTACCCTGGCTGATGGACTGGTGAGCGATGACCTCTACTGATAGCAAATCAGCTTTTTAAACATTTATTTATCTCTAAATAGTTTTGTCATTCAATCCAGTAATGTGAATTTTGTCGTCAATTTTAGTATCTTTGATTTATTGTCCCTTTTCCTCCTTGTTTATGTTCACAACAATGCTCTCAGGGTGGCTGCTTACATTCTTTAAATAGGGATTTAATCTCATTTATATCCTTCTTATGCAGTTTATATAAGAAACTCAAATGAATCTGTAGATAAATAGAAAATGTCAGCTGCCATCCCTGAGTGACCTTTTATGTTATGTTCATTCCTCAGTTGTATTTTTGTTAAATATAAAGCTTGAAATTTGTTTTTGATTTTTTTATAATTCTGCTACCATTTTAACAGTGCTTTAAAATGTAATAAAATTGAATGTGTAAATGTTTAATGTGTAATCTAAAAACTTTCTCTGCACAGTCTGATGAAAACGCAATCAGTTAAAATTAAATAATCTTTAAAAAGCTTTATACTTCAACATTTCCATATATTTATGATTGCTGGTTTGTTAAAGAGATGTTAGAGTGGAGTTTAGAGGAAATGTTGTGATCAGTGTCTTGCCTGTTTGTAGATGGCTTTAGAGCAACATCAATTTGGAAAAATTATGTAATTCTGACAGGATTAATGAGATAACTAGTCTGAACGGGGTCAGGACCAAAGTGAATTACAGCAACCCTTGTAAAAGCACTAAATCTCTCCTAATTTATTTATTTTTTTGCAGGTTGAAAGACAAAGGTGTGAAATTTCACCACAAGAAAATTGAGTCATTTAAAAAGGTTAGTGATGTTTTTTGGAAAAGCTGCTTGCACCCATTATGTAACATCCTGTAAAGATTGTCGCYATAAATATAATCTCTAAACATAATTGTTCTTATTGTTCCTGGCTGTTTTTAGCTGTCTGAAGCCGGGGCAGATGTGATTATAAACTGCACTGGGGTCAGATCAGGAGAGCTGCAGCCGGACCCGGACCTTAAACCGGGCCGTGGTCAGATAGTAAAGGTGAGAGTGAGAAGTTTCCAACGTCTGAGACAGTTTGGGTAAATAACTTTCAAGAGACAAAAAGAAAGAGCTTTTGTGTTTAAGGTGGACGCCCCCTGGCTAAAGCACTGGATTATAACCCACAGCGTTAAAGATGGAGTCTATAATTCACCGTATATCATTCCTGGGTAAGAATAACACAACAGACTGATAAGCACCTCATCATCACACAGATGAGAACCCTTGCTGTCTATGTCATGTGTCCGTCAGAGCAGGAAGTGGGGGCTGAATTCAGAACGTGTGTGTCTGCAGGAGTCGTCTTGTGACGGTCGGAGGAGTTTTCCAAGTGGGAAACTGGAGCGAACAAAACAACTCCATCGACCACAAACACATCTGGGAAGAAGCTTGTAAGCTGGAGCCGAGTCTTAAGGTGGGATTATGTCAGAGAGCAGGAAAACGAACAATATTCTGCCTCTGCTGAGACTATTTGAGTTTTCTGGGCTGATCAAGTGTTTGCTTTTGATATACTTACTCATTTGACAACATTTAAATGTGTCTGTATCACTTGTTTTGACAATCAGTTTTATTTTCTTTCTACTAAAAAGCCCCGCACGTGTGCATCTCTTCTCTCCTCAGCATGCCAGGATAGTGGAGGACTGGTCTGGTCTCAGACCTGTTCGCAGCAAAGTCCGACTGGAGCGGGAGACCATTCAGTCCGGTTCATCTGCAATCGAGGTGAACATTACAGCAACTTTAACACGTCGACTTCTTTGTTTTCCTGCTTCTAAAAACTGCGCCACTCAAACAGGTGATACACAACTACGGTCACGGAGGTTTCGGACTCACCATCCACAGAGGCTGTGCTGAGGCGGCGGCGAGGCTCTTCGGTCAGATTGTGGAAGAAAAGGGCAGACATCCTAAAGCTCGCCTTTAGTTCTGTATTCTGTAGTGAAGAATGGTACGCTGCTTTTAAAAACAAAATTCACTATCAGCACTTTCCATGTTCTCTACAACACTAAGTTTTAAAGCAAACAGATAATAAATGCACTAAGAAATGAGGCTGCTCTTAATTATAATTAAAAGATGGATTAAATCCATAAAGACTTAAGAGTAATTCACAGAAAAATGTCTTTTTATAAATGTATGTTGKAAAAGCACTAAATCTCTCTTTAATTTTTTCAATAATAAAAGACATCAACCCACTGSCTGGTTTTGAAAGACTATTTACTGTAGTATCATACACATCATACACATTTACATCCAGTGCATCAACAAGAATCTGTGCACACAGACACTTAATGCAGCACTACACCTCAAACACTGGCAGGTATGTGAGTCGGCTCGCTGGACCTGTTGGCAAATCTGTCTCCACAAACTATTTACAGCTTATTTACAGAGAGGGAGCATCGTGTCCWGGTKATGGTCAGGGTTGGGTCTKCAGCGCTAAAGCTAGTCTGAGCAGCAGGMGCATCGTTAACACCTTTTAAAAATAAATCACAGACTTTGTATGTAGACACAGTCAATTTAGGCAATCACATTCTTGATTAAATTTTGTATTTTTTTTACTCAAAATAAGCATGATGTCACTTTTCTTATTTTAATTAATCATGAACAGAACTACTTACAGCCCAGTTATCTAACAGCTCCACTTTTATCATTTGCAGCAGAATGATTCAGCTTCTATGATGTTAAAAGTTGATCATATAAGAAGCACAGTGGTTATTTTATTATGTTTACTTTTAAAAAGTTCAGTTTTTAGCAGCAATTTTAATGTGTATTTGTTTCAATAGTAAACCACACATTTCTCAGCTGGTCAACATATATCACAGTCTTCTAGGTGCATGGTTATTTTAAACGGCGTTATCAGAATGTTAATTTGAGAACGCGAGCTCCACCYTGATCTACAGATTTACACAGCAGCTCACAGGTGGGAAAACAGGGTTAACGTTTGACAAATACTGGAGTTTTCTGGTGTGAAGCTGAGCTCAATGATCTATAAAATTGTTAGGATATGAGGAAATATGTGACCCATCACATCAAAATGAGGATTAACTCCAAAAGTGGAAATGGGCAGATATAGTGTTCAGATTTAAATGTTTGCAATAATTGCATTTTGTCAAAATACGATGAATTAATGCCTTATCATCYGTATCTTATATCCGTATCATTTGAATGAACTGTCTGAAATATAACCCTAAAAATATTTTTGAGGCATTTTTGAGCAGTAACAACAAAAAATCAGATTTTCAGGAAAAACGCCTTAAAACTTTGAATTTTTCTCAGTGAGCTAGCAATGTTTTCGTTTCTTTCCRACTGTAAAATCTTAACAYACAAAAACTATTTGAGGTTTCCTCTKYATATTGACATGAAAAATTACTCAATWAATTTACATATAATTACTAGGATGCAGACCAAATAGTAATATATTGTCATAACCAACAAGGCAAATTAAGTCATATCTCTGGATAAGCTTATGATATCAGAATGATCCAGATATCAAAATGTGGCTTTTAAAGCCAGGAATTTGAAAATGTAGTTAGGCCATTTTGACCAAATTTGAYTTAATCCTCATGTCGATACGATGGGTCACATATGTGTCCTGCCACTGATTTGACCAAAGCATTAGTAGATATGATTACACAGGCTCAATAATGCCTGTATTTTCCAGCCAAAATGATTTTTCCCATTAGAAACAGAACCAGTACTGACCAAAGATGAAATGAAAACACATAACATTAATAAAYGTTTGTTTTGTTTGTTTCAGCAGGCAGTTTGCACAAGATAATCCTGTTTTCTATGAGAGTACTGATCCATAAACTAAAACAAGCTGATATCTCAGATTTGGTCTCTGGGCCACAAACTGATGAAGGCTTTAAAAAAAAAAAAAAAAGCTATTTGGAACATTTTTTACACTTTCACTGCTTTGGGAAACTTCTTCACTTTGTTCAAGCTTTTTCCACTTCTGTAGGTCATTGACTAAACCACGCTGTGTGGAGTTAAACAGTGGTGAAAACACCCCAGTGATGGTGTTAACGGGTTACAAACACAGTAAGGTGCTGTAAAATGATGGTGCTGTCTGATTCTCTGATGCCACTGTGGCGTCTAAACAGAAGAAACACAGACGAAGGCYAAAAAAAATAATCTGCTTTAGCTTTTTTCTTGTTTCTGCTTTTCCCCTTCTGGTTGTGTGTCCGCCCTCAGCCCTGGGAGCCGGAGCCGGAGCTGGAGTGAGGGATCCCTCYTGAACTGTGGCCGATCATCTCCTGTCCCCACTCGCGATGGCTGGACTCCTGCAGACCCCGGCCCGTGGTCTCGATGGGCAGAGCGCAGGAGGCGACGGCGGCGAAGAGGCAGCAGCAGCAGTACACAGACAGCGCCAGGTACACAGAGGACTCCAGCATCACCTGCAGGTCAAATTCAAACGATTAAACCAGTGCAGCTTCATTTCAAATCGTTCATGTTTTGCACAGATTCGAGGCGTTACCTGTGCAACAAACGGAGTGATGAGTGCTCCAACCCTGGCCATTCCACTGCTGGTTCCCAAACCTAGAGCTCGGGTCGCTGTGGGATAAACCTGCAGAAAATACAGGAAAAAAGTTTTAATTCTAGATTTGACCTGTTTTCCTTTTACAAAACAAAAAAATAAAGGAGCTAAAGCGGCAGTTCATCAGGATGCATTACCTCAGGAGTGTAAACATAAGCAGCCTGAAAGCCTCCTGCTATGAACGCTCGGGCGATGAAAATCAACACGGTCATGGACGCTCTGTGAGGAACGAGCCAGTGTTAGTGTGTACAGATGGATGAAGGATTCRTGGAAAACGAACTCAARTCCAGCTTACCTCCCCACACAGCCATACAGAGGAATGATGCACAGAGAGAAGATGAGGAAACACAACGCCATGGTCTTCCTCCGTCCCAGTCGATCGATCGCCCACAGAGTCACCAGGAGTCCTCAAACAAATCAAGATTATAACCATGCACCAGATTATAGTGCTAGAAAAAATATGAGCATTTTGTTCCTCAAACATGTCAGCAGGAATCAGTTAAATTACCTTTAGGCCCTGTCACACTAGACACTTTACGCCAACTTATGAAACATTTTGTATGTTTAAATTGCTAATAAAAGTTATATATTAGATAAATTTGTTCGAATTACATTATGCACATGCCGAAAAGAAG